ACATATTGGAAAAGTGTGTATACTTTAAAAGTTAAATGAATATATAAAAGTGTTCTTTGATCGTTCTTTATTCTTAAATACTTAAAGTTTAATATTCTTAGCGCGATTGAGTACTCATTAGTTTATTAATTATCACGTTCAATTTGGCTTGATCATAACAGCAGACTTTTCTTGAGTGTTGCATTACTCCGTCTGCTTGATAAAGTTTAAGGCCGGCCAGTCGAACGGGCATATTGACTCTTTCTAGGCACCTAATCCCACCTTTGGTGTTTCCGAGGATCTGTGAGTTGCCTTGTTCACTATTCGTTTTGTTTACTAAATTTTTGAGATGAGCCACTGTTCGTTATCATCATCTTTTACATATTAGAAAATATGAAAAAAAATATTATTAAAAGATTCGTTTAAAAAATTATTTCAAAATTCAGATTTTTATACCATTCTTTTCAAACAAAATTTAAACTGCTTTTTTAGAAAACTATAATGAATTGTTTGAGGAAGCCAGTTTAGTTTTAGAGGTAAAATAAATTTTTCTAAGATCACAAAAGCATTAAATTTCTCCAGTGCATACCTATTTGATCAATTTCATGTATGACAAGAGTATATTTCAATTTATGCATCGGTTAGATTTATAAATAACTGAGATGCCCATTCATTTTTTCACATTTTGGTATCAAAGTTAATGTCGGTACTTAAGATAACAAACATGAGTACTAGCTCTCCAAGTTTTCCGCTCAGAAAATATACGAGAAAATTTAATGAATACAGATCTTGAGAATATTCAATTTTTTTTTAATTGAAATGAGACAAAAAATTCAAATATGAACAATTATAAAATTCAAAATCGACAAAAAATTTTTAGATGACGTAACTATTCATTCAATACAACACAAATGATACTATTACGTGGGTCCTCATCAATCATAAATGAACAGACCTTCGCAATAAAAATATATATAATATAGGAGTGTAGAAAAATTCAAACAGTTGATTATTCTGGTAAAAGCCGTCGACAATGAAATCTGACTTCTAAATTCTTGCAGAAAACTGTTGAAATGAAATTAACAGGGGGTCCTAAGGTGATCAGTGTGTACCTCATTGTACAAACCCTAACTCTTTTACAGGCATGCTACTCTCAGTGCTTCGATCCCAAAACTTTAATTGTTAGCAATTATGAAAATTCGTCAGTACCTGGTTTTAACCTTTTGACCAATGCTGAAATGGTAATGTGCATGATGGTTTGTAACAAGTTTGAATTGTGCCGCTCAGTGGATTGGATACGCGAAAAAAAGATATGCCGGCTAAACACGAGATTTGCCATCAAAAAAGTCAGTAGTCTCATGACCGGAGGCCGCATCATTCATGTTGACCGGGAAAGTTTTCCAAAGGTAAGCAATGTATCAGACATTAGAAAACAAACATTGAAGTATTTAGATTAAAAGCAATTCGATCAAATATTAAATGAGTTACCACTCTAAGTTGAATGACTTTCAGCACCTGACGGCCGATTGTCCCAAGCATACCTGTACCGAGGATGCAATTTGTCTTCGGGGTAACTGTGTGCCTGTTTTGAAAGGTAACATCTAAGATGTTTAGCACATTTCTGTAGGTGATGATTGCAACCCTAACCCTTACCTTAGGTAGAATTCAAATCAGATTTTTTCATCGTTCGATTCGCGTTAACGACGCCGCGTCAAACTTAAGATTTTTAACATAGGTAGTGCTATTCCTTCCCCAAGTGCCCGGTACGTGAGGTGAATGTCCGGGATCCTTGGATTAAACCTTAAAATCCGAGTTCTCTTTCACGGAAGGCGTTGATGCGAAGCAATTCCTTCACTGCTACGGCCGAAAGAAAATTCCATCGGACAAAATTTGTGGTACTTCATCTGCTTTGCCATCTGTAGATGAGTGAACAGTTCTCAAATGAGACGTCAAAACATTCAATTAATCAATTTTATGATGTTCTGTTTAATACAAATCTTTCTGTGTGTTAATAACGATTACTGAACATCATTTTCTTCCTTATTATATTTTGTTGGCATATCAATAAGACAGCGACTAATTATTTTACCTTCATGTTTCTATAAACATTATTATCACTTAAACAATTAAAACATTCAAATTTAAAATCAATAAAGATAGAAAACAAAATGATAATCGAAAAGAATTTATCCTTTTTCATCTTTTAGGATACATCTTATATATGAAAAGGTTTTGTGATAATGAAACACCCAAACACACATACCTGATTAATTTATTTTTAACCATATCCCTAAAATTTACAGACGTTAAAATTAAAAAAAAATCAAATAGTGGTTCTGCAAAATTTTGTTAAATCAAACTGATATAACTGAAATGTATTTAAATACATTCTAATTTATAATTAATTACATTTGTAAAAATTAATTGTACAAGTGACTTTGATTGCAAATAATTACAAAACTATTAATCTATTGAAAGCATTCAATTAAATTTTCAAAGAAATTTGCTCCAACCTTGTTACTAACTGTATTAGTGACTATTTGTCTGCTACTAGCCTTCTTGTATTTTCTTTATTAGTTTCTTGTCTTAAAGCTATAAAATTGTCTTTAACACAGCTCTCCAGCCAGTCTGTTATTAAAATCTTTTTCCTTCGTCGAATCGCTCCGTGATCGGGAGGTCGTGAGTTCGAATCTCGGCCGCGACTGACCTAAGTCGATAAAAATGGGTAGCAACTGTTCCTTCGCCATACGCTCGGCACTTTAAAGTGAAAGTTGCGGGTCTTTCGAATGAGACCTTAAATCCGAGGTCCCGTGTCAAGGCAGGCTTGGCACGATAAAGATCGTTCACTGCTCTATGGCCCTGAGTGCCGAGTAAAGGTCAAAATTTGAAGCCCTTTACCGGTATATGGGGACGTCTCTATATGAGTGAAAAATTCTCGAATGAAATATATGGAGATAACGAACAGTATTCAACTCAAAAGTCCATCAAACAATACAAAATAGGAGCAGAGCAATCACAGACATCCCAAACATCAGAGGTGATATCAGGTGCCATGGAGGAGTGTGCATCCCCTGCCGACTGGTCACACCCGCCGTGTGCTCCTTGTCATGATCAGGAAAGAACGGAAAAATCCGTCGACAATTCAGTGTGTAAATAATGGTCTAACAATAAGTATGAAAAACGTCAGTAAGCATTTGACTCAATGATAAATTGTATTTGCTGACAAGGTCATTGTATCGACCATAGAACTAACGAAATGATGACTTTAAACGAGACAGCGGATATTCTTGTTTGATCAACTTGTTTGTCAATAATTTACCTCGTTTTCTAATTGTACATACGTAGAGCATGCTCTTGCGTATTGAATCAACTGAGAGATATAAACCCCGTATGCAGGTGATGAATGTGTATTGCTGCATTAGTAAGGGAAGTTGACGATTGAAAAGTTGGTCATCACGTTTATCATAAAGCTCGTTTGTTAGATCACCATTAACGTCTTTTTCAAGTAAAATAGCCAAATATGAAACAGATGTGTCAGACTCTGTGGTATCTTTTATCTCAAGCTCACCAGGATATATCGTACCGACATAAGAATGGAAATAGCCATTGTTAGTTGACAATACGTCGTCGATATATCTAAATGTCGAGTTGAAGGCCACAACAAGTGTTTTCTTCTTTTCATGTATAAGATTTTGGACAAATCCTGCTTCATATGAATACAAAAAAGGTCTGCGTCTGCTAATAACGGGGCGCAATTGGTACCCATGGGAATTCCAATAGATTGTTGGAAGACCTCGTCTTCAAAAACCACATAGATATTGTCAATCAGAAACTCATGCATCTTTTTAATGTCAACTTCATAGTACTTGTGTGTACAATCAGAATGGGACGTAAAACAACAAACAATCAATCAGTCAATCCCTCGTCGAAATATCTTAAAAGATTTAGAGCTAAGATGATAATGTGTTTATTTGTGTTAAAGAATGCAAGTTCTTGTTTACATAATACATGTTTTGACATTTTCCATTTCATTTTTAAAATAATTTTTAATCTATCAAATTAATCAAGATAAATTAGTTTTTGAAGACAATGAAAATTTACTTAGTTGGTTATGCAGTGAAGAAACATTTAAACAGTGAAATACTCTGTTTATAAAAGAATTTGGAAACGAAAATGCAGAAAAATACACTGTATTATTCTGCGATCATTGATGAATGCAATCATTTTCCTTTATAAACAAAGTTTACATTTTCCTGGTTTATATTTATTTCGGTATTAATTATTCACATAAAATGAATGAAAGTGCCTAGCAATGAATACCGATTCATTTATCGCCTTGGAACAAGAGTCTTGAAAACAAATTACCTTTGACTTTGCTTTGTAATATTTTATACAGAGTATATGTACTTTAAAAACCAAATATATTTACAAACAGTAGTTATATTTACTCTGTAACCTTTGACATGACCAACCACTGCATTCCGTTTAATCCAACCAGTTTTATTCCATACAAATTTTAACACTAGTTAATGAATATGTATGTGTATAACAAAGAGACTCATCATATGACTTTCCAAAATACTTGTTTTCTTCATAGTTTTGTCAATGTCAATGAATTTATAACCTTGCGTTCTCCTAATAATGTTTTTTTTTTCAAACAAAATTCTTAATCATCATAGATTTCCAATTAATTCTTCTTAACATTTTATTTTACCATGCCTTATGTCTAGATATTTTACTTTCCAGATTGTAACTGCTTTACCTTCAGTTTTTGTACAAATATTTTAAAAATTAGGTCAAAAAAAAAATCAGGTTTAAATAGCACTCGTATATAAATAAACAAATTGTCAATAAAACTTTAAATGTGCATTGAATTATATGTTTGAAAACATGTAAAACAAATAGCAAGTATAATGAAATTAATTATTGAATTTTCTTTTACTTTTTTTACATTGAATAGAAAAAATATATAGAGACTGTTCAGATATTGTTAAAAGAGACCCAAGCAGGAAAGGACAAGATGGAGTGTACGTAATATACCCTGACGTCCGGAGAGAGGTTTTCTGTGACATGACGATAGATGAAGGGGGATGGACGGTAAGTAGTGTTTTAGTTTTTTAACGATTACCGAATACTCAATAAAAATTCCTTTTATTATCTATTTCAACTTAAATTGTAGGAAATCTAAAACATCTACAAATGTTATAGCTTATCATGAAAACAAATTTAACAAAACTTTATCAAAATGACATTATGGCTGTGTGACGTGAACCTGCCCCGCAGCATTAGAACTTGAATTATACTTGATTATAGCATTTGTTACCCTGGCCTGGCAGAATCTATAAAAACGGGAGAGGTGAAACGATGAGAGAATTTATTTGGCGGGTTTCAGCAACAATAAAAGTCTAGCCTAGGATACTTCACAATCCGGATTTACACAAAACCAGAGTTATCTTTCTTTTATCATAAATACTGTAATAGATGTTACAGAAATTGGGGATGGCTGAAACTCAATATAAACTACCACAGGACGAAAGACCATCTTTAAGCTATCGCTTAATGGTAGTTTAATGGTGGCTTATAGAAGTTAATTCCTTTAAGCCACCATTAAGCCACCATTAAGCTGCAGCTTCTAGGTGCTTAATGTCCAAACTTCATTAAGCTACCATTAAGCCACCTTTAAGCTGCAGCTTAATGGTGGCTTAATGTCCAAACTTAATTAAACAACCTTAACGCATCCAGTATCAAGTCTTTAAACTAACTTGTAAAGTTTGATGTTGTTTCAAAATTATTTGCGCAAATACTTATTCAATTCATAATTTTTTTCTTGCTATTTCTAACATTTCTGTCAATGCGTATAAACTCGGGAACTGAGAACAGCTTCACAAAAAGCCTTAAAATTTTCGCTCCCTAAAATCAGTTTGTTAGAATACTTGTTTTAAAATTATTTTTATCCATAAATACATAATATACGAGGGGCGTTCAAAAAATACGCGGACTTGTTACAGAGAAAAAAATATTTGACGACAAAAACACACAAAATGTCACACATATTATAACAGAATCTTTACTTTAGTGATCAACAAAATTTCATTTCAATATATTGTAAGTAAATATTAATTTTGAGTGATTACTTCAGACCTATCATGGAATCATAGCGCAGTTAGAGTGAAATCTGCGACGTCATGACATCATATAAAATATGCGATCTCATTTTCTCAAATAGTCTTCTCCTTTGTGTTTGATACACAGTTTGTGTCACTTTATCCACTCATCATAAATATCTATATACCATTTCTAAACCAGCGTGGAAACTATAAAACTAGTGAATTATTTTTTAAAATCTTGTTTCTTTTTAAACTCAAAAACTGCATCTACTTCTGAAATATTCTGCGACGTCGGTCGCCCTTAAAAACGGGAACAGTCCAGATCATGTTTTCGTCGATGATCTTCTTCAGACCCCCCCTCCCCCCCCCCCCCCGCCCGAACGTTTTTAATAAGATCCTACCGTCTGAAATTTTCTTGTGCTATTTGAAGACAGATGTTTGGCTTATTGCTGATATACTACATGTTTCCTCAAGTATATTTTTGGTCTCTGTTGGCGTTTTCCTTATTCTACACATAATTTGACAGAAGTGTGCTGCTCCGTCGAATCACTCGACGTCATTCTTGCAGTTGTTTTCATAGGGAACACATCGGAGAAATAACAATAACAATATTTCTGTTAAATATTACGTCATTAATTTTAATTCATAACAATGTAACAATATAAAGAAACTTTAGAGAAAATTGTTGAATAATCTCGCGAATTATAGAAAATCAGTGAGAAAAATTATTGGTTCTGTGAGTTCGTTTTTCAAATATTTTACCTAGCTCCGTATATCACCATCGGCAATATGAAAACAGCAATAATTTTAAGAAAAATTAATGATTATCAAAAAATTGTTCCAAAATTTTACTAAAAACATTAATAAATATGTTTCTGTAAAATTTCATAGTTATTTGACGTCAGTAAAAGTAAATAATAGCAGAGTCCGCGTAATTTTTGAACTGCCCTCGTACATTAATTTTTTTTAAAAAAATCACATATTTTTCTTTCGTGTTTGGAGAGTCACGTTCCGCTGCCGAATTCATAGGAAATGTTGTAATTAGAGTCATTTTCTACTGGAATATCTCTAATTCTCTTAATTTTTCTTTGGGTAGAGAAATGTTTAAGATAAAAAAAAATATAGCCTAGATATAGATTATATTGCCAATCATTGAATAATTGGAATTAATTCGTGGTTAAGTGCCATTATTTTTTCCTTTCTTTTAAAATACTGCAGAAGTAAGAATTTAATTAAAATAATACAGAAGTAAGAATTTATTTAAAATAATGCAGCAGTAAGAATTGATTAAAATATAGTCGGTCTTCAGTGATTGTTATTTCAAAATCAATTTTCAGAAGAACAGCCGATCAGATTTAACAGGATATCCGACCAGATTTATACACATTGAGAAGCGAGGTAAAATAATCAGTGTACAGTATATCGACTGGTTAGACAATAGACCTTAATTAGGTGTCCCTACCAGTCCCCGGTCAATTAACAGGAAACTATACACACCGTACAGTACATGTAACAGATTTTGATGATATATTATTTTTACAAAACTTAAAATTTACGCAAGCATATAACAAATTAGAAATTATGATTGTATACAAAAGACAATTATTTTGATACCCATAATGATATAAAAAGAATTAAAACTGAAGATGATATGTTACAAAAATATTTTATAACTTAATTGTTACGCAAAAATTGTCAAAAATTGTAAATATCCGCAGCATATTTATAAGAATTATAATCTGTTTTCCCCCCATCGTTCTCTTTCGATGATATATTCCTTTTTAATAACAAAATTTTGTTATATCTGTTGAATTTCAATCTGTTCATGCTTATAAATCTGCGAATAACAGAACGAGGAATTCAGTTACTTAAAATCAAAATGTTGTTCTCACGATCACAGTTCACAGACTCCGGTCCACGGTTAAGAAATATTAACGCAATATAAAACTTCATAAAGATTTCGTTTTTTAAAATATATATAAATATAATTATTTGTATTATTGATTAATAAATATAAACATCAGAAAAAATACATGTACAGGTACCTGTGACCATTCCAAACAAGTTTTGTTAAAAATAAAGGTTTTATATTTCACGTCATTTTTAACAGCCACGGTAGCTCAGAAGTTAAAGCGTTCCCCCTCCAATCTAAAGGTCGTGGGATCGAATCCTATTGTGCAAGATTTTTTTTCATTTTTTTTTTTAATTTTCTTTCTTTTACATTATTTTCGCCGAATTAACAAATGTATAAACTCGACATTTATAATTTTTGTGAAGAAATCATTATAAAAGTAATATTTAACACATAAAAGCTGTTTCATCGACTGCGTAATGGTGACTTAATGGTGGCTTAAAGGTGGTTTAATGGTAGCTTAATGGAGTTTGGACATTAAGCACCTATAATTCTGGCTTAATAGTGGCTTAATGGTGACTTAATGATTGTCTAGAAGCTACCATTAAGCACCTGTAAGCCACCATTAAGCCACAATTAAGCTACCTTTAAGCATCCATTAAGGACTTTGAGATGGCTTAATGGTAACTTAATGGTGGTGTATTTATTACTTAAATGTAGCTTAAAGGTGCTTAATGGTGACTTAAAGACAACCATTAAACCATCATTAAGGACCTATAAGCCACCATTAAGCCAAACTTAAAGGAAGTGTTTCATCTTGTGTACGTCACACACTCCCCTTCAAAATTGAATGTCGTCCCGACATTAAGAGCAAACGGTGGGTGTGACCGGTCGGCAGGGGATGCTTACTCCTGCATGGCACTTGATCCCATCTCTAAATTTTGATGTCCATGTTTGCTCTGCTCCAAATTCGTATCGTTTCATTGGACTTTTGAGATTGAATACTGTTCGTTATCTTCATATTTCATTAAGATTTGTAATTAAAATAAAGCAAAATTAACAGGCTCCTGTTTTCCACAAAACAGAGCAATATCATTACATAAACCCTTTAACAACATACATATGCAACTTGCTCTTTTATACTTAAAATGTCCACAACTGACCAAACTGCAGACAGACACCCTAAAATGTTCTACGTATACATAAAGCTAGATACTATGGATACATTTACTCTGTTGCATACATGAACATGGCCCATATAACAACCATTAACTAATAAAATTTGACAATACTAGGTAAAAGCTATAATCAGTGTGTGATTCATATCACTCATGACATTGTATACATATATTTCACAAGGGCGATTACCCTGTAAAACATGACAGTCTACTAATATGTGAAAATCTACTCATAAATTTCAAAATCTGGTTAAATGGTCTGCACATATGATGGTTTCCCTAATTGATCATATGTAAACTTCCTGGAAGGTTTGGTTGCTCTCCTAGGTCTTTCTAAATGATAGTTTTCAGTCTCACTTGTTTCTTCAGCATCTCGCCCCACAGGTCTATCCTCAGAATTCGGGTCTTCTTGATCATTCTGACTATCAGATTGTCTATCTCAGCTATGGGCTGACTTAAAACTGTCACCAGAACTGTCAGAAATCACAAACGTCTTCCCAGGATGAGAGTCAAAAGGGTTCTGTACTTCAACCACTTAGTCTGAGCTATCATTTTCTGTAATGTGCTGCTGAGGCACAAACGGTTCTGCATGTGTATTTAAAGAAACCCTCCAAAATCAATTGATCCATCAGAATCAGAGCTGCCATCAGCATCATAGACTGTCACTGGGGCTGCTGGTTTGAGGGTTGTTTTATCCGGCAGGGTTCTTTTTTCTTCTCCTTATGTTCCAACTCAATGGGTAGAGAATTGCACTGCCTTAGCAGGTTCCTGTGAAGTCTCCTGATACCAACCAGTCCTGAATTCTTCCTCAACTCGTACAATGGTGTATCCTCAACAACTTGCTTTATTACCACATACACATCCTGCTCCCAGTAAGACCTTAATTTCCCTGCCCTCCTTTTTCTAATAGGTTCTTCACCAATACATGGTCTCCAGGATATAACCATGCGCTCAATAGTTCCTTGTCATACTGAAGCTTTCCATTATCAGACATATTCATTGCTTGCTGCGATGTCAATTTGTAAACCTCTTCCATGCGAGCCTTCCACTGAGTGATATACTGTGAGTAAGACCGCTTTGATTCGGAATGCTAGTTCTGTGAAAACTAGATCAATGAGCAGTGTGGGATGACGTTCGAATAACAAAAAAATTGGTGAATATCCAGTGGTTTCATTATTCGTACAATTGTAGGCGTGAACTACTTTGTATAAATGAGATTTCCAATTAAATTTAAAAGATGGTTCTAGAATTCTTAACATTTGTAACAAAGTTCTATTGAAACGCTCCACCTGGTCATTTCCCTGTGGGTAGTAGGGTATTGTACGAGAATTCCACACAGCTTTTGTAACTCAAAGAAATATCTATTCTCAGGTTCACGTCCCTGATTATGGTGAAGTCTACTAGACATTCCAAACCTCAGCACAAAATCATTGAACACTTTTTCTGCTGCGGTCTTAGCAGATTTGTTCTAGGTGGCATACACCTGGGCAAAGCGGATATAGTAGTCCATCACCTTAAGAATATATTCATTTCCCCCTTTGCAACGCTCCAAATGAAGAAAATCAATCGAGACCAGTTCCAACGGATGAGTCGTAGTTATAGGTTGTAGTGCTGCTTTGTGCGGAAGATGAAGTCTTTTGTCTTTGATACAACAACACTCCTAAGTGAAATATCGCTCAATCTCTGAACCCATGTGAGACCAGTAGAATCGATCCCTTGCGCTATTTAATACACTCTCTTCTCCTAAGTGTCCTAGATCATCATATAAATGTTGAAGGGCTAATTTCCTAAAACATTTTGGAAAGCATCAACTATTGAATTTGTCCTTCTGGAGGTAGTGAAATCTCCCTCCTAAGTAATCCATTGGCCATCTTCAACTTTGGCCATTCACGTAGTAAACACTTAGATGCTGAGCTCCATCCTTTGGTTACTTCCTTTGACGGTCTTGTCCCCTTTTGTACAAAAGGATTTATAAGTCCAATATCGTGGTCCTTAATCTGCTCCGTTGTTAAGATAGCACTGCTTATAGAAGAAAAGGTTCGAACCTGAAGTTTCTCTTCCTCAGCTTGTGCATAAATGCTGCTACAAACAGTCTCGTCTAACCTTATTGCTGTCACAATGGCATCAATGTGTCAGGGAAAGAAATTCCTGTAAATTTGGTTATGTCAAGGGGCATCCAACTGAGTCCATCTGCGTCACTATTTTACATACCGGGCTTATAGTGGATATGGAATCGGAAATCTGATAACATGGAAACCCACCTTAATCTTGTAGCATCTAGCTTTGGGGCGGTGAATATATATTGCAATGGGTTATAGTCATTGTACACTTGAAAATGCATAGCATAGTAAAGGTGATCTCGAAATCGCTCTGTCACTGCCCATTTGAGTAGAAATTCTAATTCTAATTTTCCCGAGTGAAGTTGGTAGTTTTGTTCAGCTGGTGTCAGTGTCCTAGACGCATAAGCAACTACAGCCAACTTGTCATTACCTTGCTTCTGATAAAGAATAGCTCCCAAACCAATTTGTGATGCATCACTATGGAGAGTATATGGTTTGTTGAAATCAGGATAAGCCATCACTGGTGGATGAAGTAGAACATCAATGAGATCCTCCAAGATACCCTGGTGTTCAACTGTCCATGTAATTTGCACTGATGAACTCTTCTGTCCTGAATTTTAGAACTTTGTTTTCTTCTGCCTCTTCCCCAATAAAGGTGCGTCATATTCATCTTTCAGCAAAACATAGATGGGTTTCGCTCTACGGGAGAAATTTGGGATATAACTCTTGTGATATCCGAAAAAGCTCATCACTTTCCGTCATCATCATCACATGTAAAGGTCTCACATTCCTCCCTCAATAATTCCTGGATTTTCTTTTTCTGATCTGTTGTAACGGAACGTTTTGAAAGATCACCAGGTGGATCCCACTTTTCACTGCTTGAGTACTCACTTTATTCACTACTATCTGAACACTATTTGATCCTGTAGTCTCAAAGTGAATTGAGGAACAAACCCTTTCAACATGTCATAAGGGTGTACCTTTTGGGAGGACAGAGTCTATTTGGATTAGACAACAACAACTTAATGTGTCTAGTATGCTTTGGCTTCACATCAATGAACATTTCCTGTGATGTTATTCTATAGGCAACCAATTCCTGAGATGGAATGTAGACAAACTTAGTGCCATTCTGAAGTTATCTGCTCTTGAATGCTACTTTGACGATTACCGATGACTGCCTCGGTTTCGTCTCCTGTGTCTTTCAGTTCTCGGTAGAGGGCGTTGACCTTAGCCTCATCAGCAGCTGGTAGAGTACATTTTAATAAGTCAATTGCATCACTACTATGTACAGTTTGTAACAGGTCTTGTATAATATTATACCCCAGAAAAGGTTCATTCATACCAGATACATCGGTGATCAGAAAAGGCACCTGAATTGCACTACCTTGTTCTAACAATTTCAAACTGACAGTAAGAGCATTTTCAATAGGTATATATGAGCCAGAGGCAGATACTTTTGAAAATTTTTCTGGCTGTAAACATTTTTGACACTCAGCTAAAAATTTTGAGTTCATATATTTGACAGCATTACAATTATTTTACGTGCAACCCAATGTGCTTTTTGACAATTTACACCACAATATGTGGCTACATGACAACTTGTGCAAACTTCGATCCACTGGACAATTGACAATGACAAGAAAAACAACTCTTGGGACAATTCATTTGCCGGGTCGCAAACTGTCTCTCTAAGACGACCCGCTGCGGTTGCTCGACGGCTGAGGCTTCTTGTTTGGGCACTGTTGTCGACGACGACCAAATCCACCACATGTCCAACAGTGGTTGCCGGTGGACTAGTAGTCATTTCACTAGAAGGTCATTTTTCACAGCCTCTTTTACAGAGTTGATCTCCAAGGAAGTAGAGTTAATTTGGGACACAGAGTGTTTAGACTGGAGTTTGTTTTGCCATCCACTCTCTTGTATGAGAATTTGATTCAACTCATGCATGAGCTTTGCATCTGATATAGTCACATTGTCCAAGTGTTTCCTCATCTCATGGGGTAGTGTTTTATCTCGTATTCCAGTGTAAACTGTTCTTCTGAAGTGACCGCCAACCAGTTCTGGACTGTATTTGAGTTCATTGCTATCTTCTTGAGAAGCAAACAGAATACGATTCCTGAGATCCATCACACGCAAAAGGGGATCATTAGGGTTTTCCTTTGGATTTTGGGTTGCACTGGCAAGCTCACTGTATAACTCCTAAGCATTTTTTTCTACATAGTTTCCTCTTAGGATACTCCTTTGAGTAGCCAAATTTATGTCAGGTCGTCCATAAAGGTAACTACGAAGACTTTAGGATGGAACAACAGCCTTGATCACCCCATCGATGATGTCAACCTCCGAATATCCCTTTTGTTTACCAGTTTCAATTTGTCGAATTAGGCTTGTGTAAGATACCCCCCCTCCCCCCCCCCCCCTTACAAACAATCTGACCACTGATTTCAAAGTCCTTATGCAGCTTTACAGCTGTGGGATTTTCTTATTTGACTTCTGGTTTCTTTTCGTTTTCCTCTTCAGAAACCCCGGGAGACTGTTTTCTGTTTTCATACCTACAGTTTTTTTCAAGTTCTTTCTGGGCTGCCTCTGCTAAAGTATATTTTACTGAGAGCAATGTGGTTCCAGACTGTGCACCTTTCATCTCCTACATGAAGAATTTATCTGCTTGCATCTCCACCACTAGTCGACCCTTGGAAGTATCAAAAGACTCCCCGAATTCCCCCAAAATTCCTTTCATTGCTTTCAATGGCGCCATCATCAACTTTGATCTCACCTCCAGCATTTCTTCTATCTACTCTGCCATGATAAGATCCCGGACGAGCCCCCAAAATGTTACCCTGACCTGACAGAATCTATATTCTAAAAAAAACCCAGGAGAGGTGAAAAGATGAGAGAGTTTATTTGGCGGGTTTCAGCAATAATAAAAGTCTAACCTAGGAATACCCCACATTCCGGATTTATACAAAATCAGAGTTATAACTTTTTTGATCATAAATTCTATAATAGATGTTACAAAAAAATGGGGGTGACTGAAACCCAATATAAACTTCGTCACACATTTACCAAACATTAAGGCACGAACACTAGCATAACAAAGGAGAGTAGAATTTTAATCTGCAATTTGCGGAATTAACTGTGCTCCCGAGCAGAGTCAAAACGAAGAAACTACCCACAAAATTTTGATTTTGATTTGGTTTCTAAACCCTTCTACGCATTGACAATTAAAGATTTCAAACAATTCTGTATTGTTCAGTTTTCTTTCATTGGCAACTCTATATAACCAAATAGTGCACACTGGCATATCTTATAGCTTGAATCTTTACAGATAATTGAGGAGAATGTATCACAGTGGTCCATGTTTATTTGTTCAAAAAGCAATAAATTAAAAAAATCAAGCATTGTTTATAGGTCATTCAGAAACGACAAGATAGTGACGTCGATTTTTACAGGACATGGATAGAGTATAAAGACGGATTTGGGAATGCCACTAAAAACTATTGGATAGGTACGTATATATATATATATATATATATATATATATAGAGAGAGAGAGAGAGAGAGAGAGAGAGAGAGAGAGAGAGAGAGAGAGAAAGAGAGAGAGAGAGAGAGAGAGAGATAACGAACAGTATTCAAGCTCAAAAATATATATTTAGGGAATGACGCAATCCACATCTTAACAAAGGATAAAAACCAAGAACTCCGAATTGATCTCCAGAGACATAATGGAGAACAGGCCTATGCTGTTTATACCACATTTTAAATCGGAGATGAAAACAATAAATATACACTTACAGTATCTGGATACAACGGAACAGCGGGTGAGTATTGTGATCCGCCAATGTAGTGTGATCAAGGTTTGCATATTGACAATATATGAAGGATCAATGCATTGAGTGTAGAACGATGTACGTATTAAAGTACAGATAGTCAGGGGGTATTTATACCTTTCATTTTTTCAAATTTATATTCAAGTTCCTCAAAACGTACTAGTTTTTAATAGCTAACTTAAATCCTTCTCAAGCCATGGGGATCTTAAGCTCATAAACCCAATTTCTGTAGTGGTAGTTGGATGAGAGTCATTGACTTCTCTTGGATGAGACACCATCACAAGCTAACTCCCAGTGCAAGCCTTAACCCGTTTTTGGGTGATCTGAAACAATTTAATGCATGAAGGTATCACACAGCACACTACAAACAGCTAGATGTGAACCAGCAACCTTTTGATTACTTGCAAAACGGTACTGGCCACTGAACCTTGGCACAAATCTCTTTCTTATCGTTACCTTTTATTTTCAATAATTTTAAAGAGGACCGACCCTCTGGGAAGAGAGATAACTTCCCAAATAAAAAAAAATCCTTAATGTCCGATAGTTAATTTTACCAGAGTGTATGTAATGTAATGTAGTGTAAATGATCAGTTCAAATAAATCAAACATGTGATGCAAACGGCAACTTCTATTTTCTTTTGCCAATATTTTTTATCGTCATTAATAACATTTGACCTAAAATGTTTGCATCCAGTTTTCCTATTTTAAAAACTGATACAATTATATTTTTTATGAACAATTTTAAAAGTGCAGTAATGATTCATGTATGATTTTTTGTATACCGGTATATATTTTTAAACTAGAAAAAAGTCTATAAAGAATCTTCAAACGTGTGGTTGGTGCAAGTTATATTCCAATAGAATGGTGCAAGTTATATTCCAATAGAATTCCAAGATATTTCCTTCAAATTTAAGTTCTGACATTCATTTAGAATTTACAGTTTTCATTATTATTGGAACAGTTAAAAAGATTCAGTTTTTGTTTTTGTGACTTGGAATATTCCATTACATTGTGAAGAATGTTGGATTTATTACTTTAAATATGTTTTTGTTGTGTTTTCTTAACCCAATAACTTACCTGTAGCCGTCCAATAAGTTATTAAGTACTGTCCATTATTTTTGATAATGGACAGATTTTTTAACTTATTGGACGGTTACAGATAACTAATTGGACTGACTTGGGCCGTTCAAGAAATAGAAAGTATTGAAAGAACAAAAAATGAGGTCATACTAATGATTTACCACTGAATACCTTATAATATCTGACAGAGTGACTTATCATAATTCGTTATTTTCACTTTTATCTTTATGATGAAAGCTCTGTGAACACAGGGTCATGGGATCAAACCCCGACTGCGACTGAACTAAGTCGATAAAGATAGGTAGCAAGTCTTCCTCTGCCACGAGCTCGGCACTAAAACCCGAGGAACCGTGTCACGGCAGGCGTTAGCACGATAAAGATCCCTGTCTACTTAATGACCCTTGGTGCCGACTAAAGTGTAAGCCTATAAGACAGATAGTCGTTTTCAAAGAGTTTTATTTAACTGAGAGTGATAGGTCGTACAGATGATCGTATAGTGGCTCTTAGCGTCTCCCTCTTAGAACGTAGCTCCGAAGAGCCCCGCTCCGATGAGTGCGGCCCAGATGAGAGCGCTTGGTTAAGTTTGAATCTTATTTTTATAATGTACAATGCATAATACTCATTTACATATGAAATAAACAAGTTAGATTTAAGTAAACAACTTATGCAATAAATTGTGACAAAATCCTGGAGTTTTTATAAAATAAATTGTAATTGGAACATGAACTTTAATAAGCTTCAGTTCAACGTCCTAGTATTGTGCAAAAGTTAGTATAATGTTAAGATAACTTTTAGCAATGTTCCGTTACTGTTCCTGTATCGATTTTCAAAGATAGATAAACACCCTGGTAGCTTAAATTGTCCTTCATACGATTACCAGGCTTGTTTACTCTTACAGAAAAGTCTTACACTTTCATATCCCAGTTGGATTATAGGAGGTCAATGTACTCTAACGAGTACATTTTAAATAGTTTATCTTGATTTTCTTGATTAAAATAATTGTCTCAAACCTATAGGTTTACAAAAGTCTAAATTTGAAGCCATTAACTAGTATACGGTGACGTCTCTTCGAGACTGTAAAATTTGCGAATGGGACATAAAACAAGATTAAATTAATCAATCAATCATTATATATATGATATGTAATTTTATATTTAATACATTAAAACAGCAGTAACTTCAATAGTGCTTTATTTGTTATTATTTGTTACATTAAGCATCAAGCTGTAATGTTACCAATACTCTATTCTAGGTGACAGTTTGATTGATTGGCACAATGGTATGAAATTCTCCACCAAAGATCAGGATAACGATATGAGTAGCGTTAACTGTGCCACAAAATATCATGGAGCCTGGTGGTACAACGCCTGTTACCAATCAAACCTAAACGGACAGTATGCTACGTCTGCTGTGATTGGTGAAAAATACCCGGTATGGGTATACTTTAAAAATAGTCATGAAGCACTACAAAAGACTGTGATGATGATTAGACAGAAAAACTAGAGCCATTTTTGACATGCTTATAATGAATTTTATTTCGAAGCAGAAATATTCTTACATTTTCTGTGTGACTTACCTCTTGTACTAACTTATTTACTTTTTTCTAAGTAAGGAAACTTATACTCGTTACATGTATATGCCATGATGAATTAAAGTTTAGACCATGTGAGCTGTCAATGACAAAAATAAAATGTAAAGATTAAACTTTTTAATGTGCCACTGATAAAATAATACGGTACAGAGTATACTGTGTAATTTGTAAGGTGATGCTGCAATGTAGTACACAATAATCTGTGTAATATTTCACTGATAAAAAGTAGCACAATATTATGTGTAATGTTTTGTAACAAGTCGAGCGGACCCTTGTCACAAAATAAAAACTCCTTTGTCAGGCATAACAAGTTTTTATTTAGGATAGCAACAATCAAGAACAATAACAACGAATGAGATGCTGACCATTCAGACAATAGGTGACCCGAAAAAAAGGGGGGGGGGGGTGAACTTGTCTTGCGACTACATTACACAGTTAATTTATTGTTGTAACTAGTATCTGCAAACAACTCCTTGTTCTCGAACTCAAAGTAAAACAACTTTGCGTAATTAATTGCGTAATATTAATTGTAAATTTAATAATTCAACAAGCGACGATCCGGACAGTCCCTAACTATTTGGGAAATCCAAATAAACTATCTTTGTACTAAACTATTAGGTATGGCTTATATTAAACTCTAATGCCACTTAACCTATGAAGAAATTATGCGTAAACTATTCAGAATATGTGTATACTCTCAAAATGAATTTATTTTCAGCTCAAGCTTATCCGAACAAATACTACCAAATCCGGACAAGCCATTCCGGACAAGAATAACCTAAGTGAACTTAACTACTGAACTACTCTGCACATCCGAGCAAACAATCCGGACAACTATTAAAATGTATAAACGTGACATAAACTATCAAATAAACTTCTGAACTTGGAAACGACTGACTCATAGAAATGTTCCGGTCATAAGTCCTAATTAATAACTCGAACTGTAAACAAATAAACTACTGGTCTACATGACTGGAATAATCTCTATACTCTTAAAACTGTCCTGTCCGGACGCGCAAGTCCTTATAAAAATTAGCATCATCCACTACAAGATTTATCATCTTGAATACCTTGGACTTTCTCTAGTTCTAACCAAACAACCCGAAGGGATGAAGAGTCGAGAGTGAGTGTCGAGATGCTGAAGCTGGGTCCTATATATAACCTTCTATGACCAATCAGCGTTTGTCCTTTTTGTCCGGAAAATTTATAACCAATCCAAACGCTGTACGGATCTATGGAAATTCCGAACAATTCCCGATATCCGGACAAGCTGAATTACAACCCTTAATAATCATTTAATGAACAATACAAGACCTTGTCCGGATTACTTTAATTATATGGACACTAAATAATGTAATTAGTTTAATAATGAAAATATCCAGGACTACGTAGTTTTACTATAAAAATCAAGATTCTAATCTAGGCGCCTTCTAAAGTAGTGCGCGCAGCGATATATGTAAATACGGAAGTATGACTTCACAACATAGTGCGCCGATGAGATCGATAAAATAAGACAATAGTTCACCATCATAAGGTAAAAAATAGACAAAAATAGTGGTCAGCATCATATTACAATAATTAAAGATAAAAATAATGTACAACATGGTTGAAATAATGAAAAATCATGCAGCAGAACAAGTGACAATATGAGTTGTGAAGCGGTCAGTCAGACGAGGGAAACGCATGGTAAAGTACACAAGAAGTTCGCGAGCGGTAAAATGACGATTTCACATAGATGAAGGTAAAAGAATGCGCTGGTACTGAAGATACATCAACAACTGGTAATTATAAACAGCTACAGTTTAATTAAAACGATTGTTTTACCGTATTACGAAGAAATTTAGAGAATAAAATTTGTAAACAAATGATCGAAAATGGGGGAAGTTGTCAAAACACGAACGGTAATACTGCAGGTATTGTAAAACAAATCTGAGTTAAAATAAGGCATAATAAATGCTGTTTAAGTTTAATAAATCACTTTAGAATCATGTACTATGATTATAGTAAATTCCCATCCAGAATAAATTCATTGTAAACAATATAAAGAGTTAGCATATGAAGGTCTCATATATTACAGTTTCACTAATAAAAAGTAGCACAATGTTGTTGTGTAATGTTTCACGGATAAAAAGTAGTACAAATTAGATTGTTAAAATCATCAGTATAAATATTTTTGTAGTATAAAGACATAAAGGGGCACTTAACACCTACATGTGCATCATATGCAGAAAAGGCGACATAACAAAAAAAAACTGATTTGTTTTCTATGATATAATGACGAACTCAGTCAATGACGGCCTCAGTTGTTTTCTATAACATGATGAGGGAGTGAGTCCTTTTTATAATATGATGATGGACTGAGTCATTTCTATATCATGATGATGGACTGAGTCATTTCTATCACATGATGACAGACTGAGTCATTTTTATGAGTCTTTTTCTATGACTTGATGACGGACTGAGTCCTTTCTGTGACATGATGATAGAGTGAGTCATGTCTATGACATGATTACGAACTGAGTCATTACTATGAGATGATGACGGACTCATTCGCTTCTTTGACATGATGATGGACTGAGTCTTTATCAATGACATGATGATGGACTGAATCTCTTTCAATGACATGATGATGGACTGAGTCTTTTCAATGACATGATGATGGACTGAGTCTTTTTCAATGATATGATGATGAACTAAGTCTTTTTCGATGACATGATGACGGACTGAGTAGTTTTCTACGATATATTGATGACTCGGGTGTTTTTTTATGACATGGTGATGTAAAGAGGAGATAGATAGTTAATTAGTTTACTTTTATAATAAATGAACAACTTTTCTTGCTCCGAAAACTGCCTCATTTTATATTTTTTTTTAAATGGCAAGGTGGAAAAATATCGGAGCTCGAATGAAGTCTCGTTCATCAGGACGATGACATGAATTTTAGACCATTTGTATAATGTTGGAAAAACCTTTGTCGATCTATAATTTTCTTTGTATCACATCACAAAGCTTTTTACTAGAAATAAGCGTGTATGAAGTATATTTAACCGATTATGTATTTCTGTCTGATAAATTGTTGGAGAGATTTGTAATGTTACTTTTTAAAAGTTTTTTTTTTAAGATGCATGATTCTTTCTATTTATTTCTATTTATTTGAAATAAAACAAATCATTATCCTAACCTCAGGCTATTTTAATTTATCACGGAAAAAACCATTTGCAGACCAGCTAGTGAATTATTTTTCCGCTGTTCTTCAATGTGGGCGAAATGATTCAACGCCATATTCATTAAAATTGCTTTTGTTATGAATTCACTTTGGAAATGGAAGATTTTAATTTGAAACCGATGTCAAGTGAAGTGCATGATTACGGCTTATCTATAATCCTCTACAGGTATTCAAGCAGTAATCCCCATTATTTATTTTCAGCTCTGAATATAGAACAAAGACACTTAGGGTAAAAGTTCCTTTTCTTCGTAAGAGGAAGATATATACAGTCAAACCTGCTTTGAGAGGCCACCTTAGGGAAGTTTTGAAGTTGGTGACTTTAGACAGGTGGCCTTTTATTTCAAATAGCCAGTCAAACAATAAATGAAAAAAATTTTAACGTTATACTTGATTAATTAAAATTCAGAGAATAAAATTAATGAATTTCACTTACAGTTAGTATGCGTACTAATTCATGTATATTTATCATTTAATGATGTTATACTGGAATTGAAAAAAACAAACTCTTTCTATTGTAAGATATATATAATTTAGGTGGCTCACAAGGTATTTATGAGATATTTCTTCTCTTAGACCCCGCCCCCTCCTTGCACACACACATAATAGGATGTTTAAAAAAATAAAAGACGAATATTTCAGCCAGAATTTGTCACTCTCTCTCTTCAATCAATGATCAGCAAATAGTGTGTGGTTAATCCCCCCGAACTCAACAGTTCTGTTTAATCGGCAGTTTACTTATTTAGTGATGCTATTAAACTTTATTTTTAGTTTAACTTTTATAAAGCTATCAGAATTTTAAAAAGACACATAAATGACGTTGACCAAGGATGTGTATTACGTAGTTTGAAATCATTGCGCAGGTGTCATATGCAGTAGAGCGTATCTAATTCCTATCCATCGTCTCCTAAGGGTAAAATTAACGAGATAATCAAGCCAAACAGTGTATATTGTATATAAAAGAGTAGCAATAAGGGTTTCTACATAGAAAAAAAAATTAATAGGTTTGAAAATATCGGTAGTCAGGGGTAACGTATGATGTAAAACGGATTTCGACAACCTTGATCTTCTCAGAAAATATATCATTGGGTCGTATTCTAGCTAAGGGTTTTCATAGCAATTATTATGCCTTTGTTTTTTTATTAAATTTGACTATGGAATGTTCCTTACATAAGGCTCCTGGCGAATGACTCGTCGACAGGGGATGCTTACTCCTCCTATGCACCAGATCCTACCTCTGGAATTTCTAGGGGTCCGTGTTTTTTGCTCTGTTTACATTTTTTTTGTAGATTTACGAGATCGATCACGGCTCATCACCTTTTTCATTGTGATGGTAATTTGAATTGACCTTGATTTGTAAAATAAGGAAAAAATTGAACGGTTATTTATTTATTTATTTTATTTGAAGGTCATTCTTATTTTTTTTTACAGTCGTTAAACTATGTACATGTATTACTTTAAAAAGTATATATGTACTGTTTTTTTTTTTTTTTTTTTTTTTTTTTTTTTTTTTTCAAGAAAAATTGAATGTAAAGCCTGAATAAAGAGACTTTTTTTACATTCTATACTGTTTAACACTTAAGTACGGTTTTGATTACCTTCTTGCGGTGTAAGTTGACTTATTCGATTGATCGATGTAGTTTTACATCGATTTCAATATTATTTCATTTAAATGAGATTTCACTGCATGCATGCCGACAAAGGGCTTCAAATTAAGAATTTTTTCCGGCAGTCAGGGCAGTTGAGCATTTGGTGATCTTTTTCGTGCCAACACCTATCGTAATAAGGTGTCTCGATTTTATTGATTTCATTTAAAAGAACAATGGCTTTCATTTCAAAATGCCGAGTACATGTACTTGGTGAAGGAACAGTTGCTGTGTATTTTTTTTTTATCGATAAGGTTTGTTGAGGTCAGAGATTGAACCCACGTCCTTTCAATCACAGGGCAAGCACTCTACGTTGACTCAAGTTCATATACAATGTATCGAAATCAGAATTTTCTATAGAAGTGCATAAATTTTCTATTTGTAATGACTTCAATTTGCAGTTAGAAAGCTTTGTTCTGGAAATGGACCACATGTGAAGAGTGCATATACTTACTTTGATGAGAATTTCTGGAGTTCAGTAAAGACTTAAACCCGTCTTGTTTATATGACTTTACTATGCCATGAACAACTGATATCAATGCATAATATTGTAAATGGATCTATACATAGTGAAAGATCCTCACTTGATTATAAAATCATAATTTGCTTTTCGGAGTTCAATATAGCTATCAAACATGATCAACGTCACTTTTCGACGTGACACACTTTGAACACCCTGACTACAAATCGACGTCATTAATCTCTCTAATCTTTTTCGGTATTTAAAAACAAGTACTCTGGAGAATTTTATTTCTCTGTAGCCCGATTTAACATTCCCTAGGTCTATGCCGATTTTTCCAGGGGTGAAACTTTATAGAATGTTGGAAAAGGAAACCCCACCCCTTAATTGTTTAGACATTTCATATAAGATTCGAAAGCAAGTTTAATTAAGTTGCCTAGATGGCCGAGCGGTCTAGCGCGCTGTTCCTGTACGGCTAGGAGACTGATTCCGTAGGTCGAGAGTTCAACCCAGGGTTGGGGTGGAGGTGGGTATCCTGATAAAAGTTCATATTGTTAATATATATATATATATATATATATATATATATATATATATATATATATATATATATATATATATATATATATATATATATATATATATTTGTTTTTGTGTTTTGCTTTTTTTTTAAGGAAAACTTTTCTTTGTTTGAAATATCATCAATTCAAACCCTATTCTATTCTTAATTGAACATTTTCCACAAAGGCCATTAAAATCGAAAAAAAAGATTTATTTTTTTTCAAATAGATGTCATTTGAAGCAAACATTCAATTATCATTTTGTTACCTTTGAAAATGGGAGCTTTGTCCTAGAAATGGACATCATGTGAAGTGTGTATTTCTGGTTTATCTGTAATCCTTATCTGTAATCCTTAAGAGTGTATTAATGCACTACTTGAAAATAAAATTTGGTCTTTATATATCTCCTCCCCTATGAATTTACAAAGTTGTAAGCTTAAGTTACTGGGGACATTAAATATATACTAACCGTTATTTTCTTTATGTTATGATTCGTGTAAAAATCAAAATGAAACCATACAGTTACAATATAGGTAGGTAACACACACACAAACATAAAAAAAATACTCACTTCAAAGGTCTGGGTCCGTAGATCCCAGTTTTAGGTCTGCAACATTTTATAAAATAATCATTTGTGTATTAGCGTATATGCATGATTTAAGAAAAAATCATGAGCGTTTTAAAATTCAATCAGAAAAGAAATCTTCGCTTTTTTGGACAATGAAAATCATATTTCACACCAATCAAAATTTCTGAAAAAATACTGAAAAGCTCTAGCTTTAAATGGTAGTCACTACAGGCAGGTTGCTGTTATTTTATTTTGATTCAGCAATCGATAAATCACAGATTTGAGGCTGTAATCTTTTTTCAAATAAGATAACCTACTTTAAAAAAAAGAAGCTGAAGTCTACTTGATATGTGTATAGAAAATAAGCTGAAAACTTTATTTCTATGCATGATACTGAAACAGTACGGTCAACAAAGAGCTGAAATCTACTTTACGTGTTATAGATAATGAGCTGTAAACTTTAATTCTAAGCATGACACTGAAACAGTACGGTCTATCTAGAGCTTAGTCTATTTTGCATGTTTATCCTACTCACTATATCTTTGGTTAAAATTAAATAAACATATAAATACTTTTTGTTACACATTTATTGTCGAAACCGAAGATTAGAATGACTATATATTTTCTATGATTTCTACAGGGTCTGAAACATCTGTTTCATATTTGTATGTTTTACTAGAAGAAGACGCTAATGGTTTAAAAAAAAAATAGGATAAACGTGATGACTTCAACTTTTCTACCGTTATGTAGTAATTTGCCATTATTATCTTCAAATGGAGTTTATATCTCCCAGCGCAGGTATGTTAAGGCAGTATCCAGGTCATATTTCGGCGAATTTAGACTTTTTTCGTAAAATGTAACATTGATAAATCGGGAAAACCATAGATAAAACATTTACTATTATTATCCATTGTATAGACGTCATTGAGTCTTCAGCTAGAAGAAGCACTTCACTACAACGTCATCACGTGAGGTCTATAAATAGAAAAATTGCCTCAATGAAAAAGTGAAAAGTTCAACACTACCCAAGAGATAATTCATTTCTTTTAGTGAAAATAATTATGCAAAAACATCACTGGGCCATGAAAAGTGCTGCTAGAATCCTACTCTCCTGACACAGAAAAAAATATTCCAACGTTTCGCATGAAACCTTATCAATATTTTTATATTTTATACATACGATCAAGGAATTTTTATCAATTCATGTTAACCACACGATTCTAGCAGCACTTTCCAAGTACTATAGAATACAAGCTTTCGATACAATCAAAAATTATATTTCAAAGTATGCGGCGTAGTGTTCAACTTGTGCATCTTTGTTGTTATAGAACGACAGAGGAACGGCTGATCGGGATTTCAAAGCACTGACTGTGTTCATTATAAGAAAACATGGTAAGAATATATCAGCGTACCTGATTCTTAATCTTTAATTCCTTATGAATCACACATAACATTCGCGGTATATGCCTTAAAACTCCCATTTCATATATTTGCTTACATGAATTCTCGTCACCTTCAATTTCACTCGGCAAATATTTGATCAATAGTTATGACGTCATGGGTTTGGTATTTAACCCCCGTGCTAAATAATTAGCTATTTATACCACCCAAAAACGACAAGATTTAGTTTATATTATGTTTTGAATGATTCCATTCTTTTCTTAGACCTGAAATTTAACTTTAAAGATAGATATTAAGAAATCATTATTTCTAAAGTTCACGTCATACAGCTTACTATGACGTCATATTATAAAGGCAAGTAGGATATCTCTGGGTGAAGCCTTAACATACCCGCGAGTTGATTCATTTTCTAAACCGAGGCAAGCTATTGACTAAAAAGCTGATAAAACAAGAATATCAACAATCTTGTTGAAACTCAACATTTCGTAAAATCTTGTCAAAATCTTACAATAACCTTGTCAGCAAATACAATCTATTGTTAAATCGAATATTGACTGACGTTTTTCGTGCAATTTGTTAGGCTATTATTTTTACAGTAAATTGTCTACGGATTTTTCGTTTTCCCGATCATGACAAGGAGCACACAGCGGGAGTAATCGGTCGACAGGGGATGCTTACTTCTCCATGGCACCTGTTCCCAACTGTGATGTTTTAGAGGTCCGTGTTTGCTCTGCTCCAAATTTGTTTTGTTTTGATGGACTTCTGAGCTTGATAACTGTTTGCTATCTTCATATCCCCTCCTCCCAAAAAAAGTGCAAAATGAATTTTTTATAGATGCAAAAAAAAACTTTATTACTTTGAATGAGAGATTATCGTTTTCAATTTATCGATATAATTAATGAGAGAGAAAAAAATTGATCTTTATCTTGAAAAATCAGTGGAAGCATCACGTGAGAACCATCAATCATAAATAGAAAGATCCGTGCAAACGATAAAAGTATACATAAACCAGAGAAGTTGATTATTCTCTTTAATCCTGCTGACAATAAATTTGATCGCAATTTCATTTACAAAAAAAGTATTGATATGGGATCAGTAATACGTCTTATGTCGACCAATCTGTACTTCACTGGACAAGTCCTCGCTCTGTTAATGTTACAGACATGCTACGCTCAGTGTTTAAACCCAAAATCTTTGATCATTAGCAATTATGAAAATTCCTCGTTACCTGGATTTAACCTTTTGACCAATACTGACGTGGGGATGTGTATGATGATTTGTTACAAGTTTACATTATGCCGGTCAGTATATTGGATACGAGAAAAAAGGACATGCCGGCTAAACACAAGATTTGCTGTTAAGAATGAGAGTCGTCTGATGATCGAGGAAAGTATCATTCACATTGACCGGGAAAATTTTCCAAAGGTAATTAAGACTTTCGAGGATTAATAAAACAAATTGATATTTGAGAAGAAAAAAAAAATGAATTTCGTTGTATTTAAAGTGAATCATGACTTTGGTTTGATTTATTTTCAGCATCTTGTGGGCGATTGTTTGAACAATACTTGTACCGAGGATGAAATCTGTATTCGTGGTAAATGCGTACCTGTTTTAAAAGGTAACATTATTCCAAAGTTTATTCTGTTTTTTGACACATTTTGTCAGGTGATAACTCTTATTTATTGCTCATCGTAAATGAGTTTGATTAACTTGTAATAAGTATCAATTAACATCAGTAACAATCTAAAGTACAACAATAACTTGTGAAACAGGAGATGAGCTTTTAATGAAGTGTATATTAAATAAAAAATACAGGTTTAATACCTCTTCAAAATGATTTGTTTCGACACTTTTACCAAAGAAAAAATGTCATTTCCTTCCAAATAATTTTTTATATTTATAATCAAAATGATTTTGGGAAGATCCAAATGAACTTTCTCTAAAAACAAATAGGGTCAAAAAATTGGAGCAAAAGTATTATTAATAAATAACGCAGTACAGTTAAGGTGACGAATGGAAATATCGGCGAATTTTTTTTTTTTAAATAGAAAAATACATTCTTTACAAGGATGGGCGATTCTTTTTAGGACTTTACCATCATCAGACACATGTAATGTGGTTGAAAACTACATGTTGGGGACGATTAGATTTCTTACCTAGACTTGTGACGTAATGTGGCAGTCAAGTGATTTTAGCAAATATACCTGCAGTATTGAGGTCATCTATAAATTTCAATATTTCAAGGGCATAACCACGTTAAAAATCTAAGTTTAATTTAGAATTATTTTCAACACTCTTTGTAGTTTGTGAAAAGTGCTGCAAACCTATATAGATTCTACTGTGTTGAATATTTTGCTGGTCAAGTGCATTAAATGTAGATATAATTAATTCATTTGCAAGATTTCATCAGGTTCGCAGCACTTTTCAGATATCTTCATACCTCTTGAGTTTATGTGTAAAAGCTTGTTATAATTCATTGAGGGTATGCCCTTGCAATATATCGATTTATTATGACCCTTCTATTACCCTTCAATGAATCTGCATACAAATATACGGCAGTATCGCTTGTCTAGGAAATGTATGGGAAGTATATGAATAAAATCATAAAATATACATCGCATCCAAGTTAATGGCCTCTTAAATATCTACAAATATATTTTATTAACTTACAAAATACATTTTCATTGTTTTTCATTGTATAAATTATAACTTGATCCGCCTCTCACTGCATACAAACTGCGTCAAATTATGCGATATGACGTCACTTTGTCAAGTGCATTGCGATCAGTGAATTTTTTATATATTGCTCTGTGGGATTTAACCAACGACAAACATACATGCAATAGTAAGTATTGATGTAGTTTAAAGCTATCCAATATTTAAAATAGCAAATCATTTCATTTTGTGGTAATTTGAAGAACATATATATTTGTATGATGTCATTAGTAAGCATTTCCCGTAAAAATTAGGCCCCGCCTCCTTATTGCAGCCTTAACTGTGCTGCGAAGGTAGGATACCATTCTAAGAAAAAAATATGAAATACTGGCTTATACTTATTTTTGAACAGATAATTAGTGCCTTGAAAATGGTGCCAAAAAAATGGATCATAAACATTAGAAAAGAAATTGATAAATGAAATAAATGGAGAAAACGAACAGTATTCAAGCTCAAAAGTCCATTTAGACAATACAAATCAGGGGAAGAGCAAACATGGACCTGTAAAACATCAGAGGTGGGATCAGGTGCCATGGAGGAGTGAGCATACCCTGCCGACCGGTCTCACCCGCCGTGTGCTCCTTGTCATAATAAAAAAATAACGGAAAAACCCGTCTACAATTCAGTTTATAAATAATGGCCTAACAATCAGTATGAAAAATGTCAGTCAGTATTTGGCGTAATGATAGATTGTATTTGCTGACAAGGATTGTATCGAACATAGAACTTACGAAATGATGACTTTAAACGAGACAGTTGATATTCTTGTTTCATCAACTTGGTTTAGATTTTTTTTAAATTCATATATTCCGATTACTTTTATAAAGACAAATGTATTTTGAAACTTTAAAAAAGTAGAAAAAGGTTTTAAAAAAATAATAACAGAAATGTACATTATATCAGAGACTACTTCATGTAGTCGTGAGGTTCAATCCGACATCTGAATAACTAACAAATGAACATCTAGCAATGTCAACATCAGACCAAATAGCAAACGGAATCTACAGGTATCAATATCAGTTAAAAGTTCGAATTGAGACCAAGTTACAAATTGGCTAATTCAATTTATGTAAGCCCAAGTAGCAACTGCAGCGTATGCATACTGGTTACAAAGAGCAGTTGCTAATAAATCGTCTGACAAAATATGATAAACAAGATACCACGTTAAGCAGAATAAATAATTATTTATATATTATCATATGAAGAATTTCTTTTTTACGTTAATTAGAAAAAATATACAAGGATTGTTCGGAGATTTTGAAAAGAGATTTCAGCAGGAGAGGACAAGATGGAGTGTATATTATTTACGCTGACACTCGGAAAGAGGTTTTCTGTGACATGACGACAGACGAAGGAGGGTGGACGGTGAGTAGTGTTTTAATTTTCAATTAATTTCCCAGTTCCCTTTCAAATATTCATTTATTAGGAAGTCATTTTCACTGTAGAAATTCTGAGTCAATTGTAGATTTCACTATCATGAAAGCAAAATCATTACTTTGAATGAACTATTTTTTTTATTGATGATAGTAGGCATTAAGTATCAAGGGGGGGGCCATTTAGTTTATTGCAAGTACGTTACGTCACAATGCTCACAGAAAAAAAAAAAACAATGAAAGTATAGCCATAATGTTACAATCACTTAAATATATTGTCGATAAAATGTTAAAAAACCCTAAAACACACAAACTTGTTTTCTGGCCATATTTCATGAAATGGTTGAAGAGGGCAGATATGAAATTCTAAAAATATCCAAATGATATAGAGTAGACCTTTTATTAGTATAATTTTTTTCTGTCACAAGTAGCTTTATAATATTTTAATCAATGGTTTTTTCAGGTCATTCAAAAACGAGAAGATGGCGAAGTTGACTTTTACAGGACATGGAATGAGTATAAACAGGGATTTGGGAATGCGTCTAAAAACTACTGGATAGGTATGTTTCTGTATTTTCTGCTTTATTAAACTGATAACTTTGAATTTTTATTTAAATACGAGCAAAACATCAAGAGGTTTATGGGCCACATCGCTCACCTGAGCACATGGCTGGAGAAAAGAGCAGAAATCAGTTAATCACCTAATCACTTAATTCTACATTACTTGAGGATATTTCTATAATAATGTGACTAATCATGACTTTGCTAATCTCGAGAAAAGATTTCTAAAGAAATTTCCTATATATTCCTATGCAAAACTTCACCCCCTCTTGTGGCCCCGCCCTACTATCGGGGTTATGATATGAACAAATTTAAATTTAGAGTTTGTAATGAAGCTTTCACATAAGTATCATTTTTTTCTTTCCAAGTGTTTCTTGAGAAGATTTTTTAAAGATGGCACCAAATTTTCATGAAATTCTTAATAATCTCCCCTTGAAAGAGGAACGTCCTGTAAACAAGTTGAAATCCCCTTCACCGAAAGATGTGGCAAGTTTGGTTGAAATTGGTCCAGTGGTTCTTGAGAAGAAGTCGAAAATGTGAAAAGTTTATTGACGACAGACGGACGCCGGACATTTGATAAGAAATGCTCACTTGAGCCTTTGGCTCAGATGAGCTAAAAATACAGGCAAACTAATTAAAAAAAATGTTCAAATCTTGATAAACATATTGCTTTACGATTGGTATGAAATATTTCAGCAAAAATTCAAAGACACTTGTATTTGCAAAAAAGTCATTATAACGACCGTATTATTCACTACACTGAAAACCCTGTAACATAAACTTATTTTTCGCTGGCCTGTCTTTGTGTAAAAAATTATCGCAGCTCTTCATGAATCAGCTGGGAGACGACAAATGCAGTTGATAATGGAGTAATGCCACAGAATATCTGAAGCAAACAATAAATAAGCTGAGGTCATTCAGTTTGTAATATGATTTAATTATTAGTTTCCGGTTGCAATTTACGTCTATCTTCAGTAAAATATACTGAATATCACTATTGTGTCTTTTATTTCGAGTTTACTGGGAATAAATGATTACATTTAGCCTTTTAGTTCAGAAACAAGGCCAGAAACAAATACAATTCGTCATCATTAACAGTACTATTTTTTGTTTTTCTTCATATCAGAATCATAATAGTATTAGGAAAAGAATTTTAATTCAAAGAAATGTGTGGAGATAAGGAACAGTATTCGAGCTCAACAGTCCATTAAACATTACAAAATAGGAGAAGAGCATGGGGGTGCCAACTCGGACCTCCAAAAACATCAGAGGTGGGATTAGGTGCCATGGAGGAGGGAGCATCCCTTGCCGACCGGTCACACCCGCCGTGTGTTCCTTGTCATGATCGGGAAATAACGGAAAAGTCCGTCGACAATTCAACAAAAATATTATCGTTATTTATTCTTTTCAGTAATTTACATTTCAAATGTTCTGAAGCTTTTTACATTCCTATATATGTAATATGTTACCAAAAAAAAAAAAAAAAAAAAAAAAAAAAAAAAAAATGAATAAATAAAACTAAATAAATAGATTAAATCAAATAAAGTGGAAAAAATTCCGAGAAAGCTGTCGTTTCCTTTTCCTTTTAAAATAACTTTTTTTTTAAAAAAAATATCTGTATCTTTTTGTGTTAGATTTTATTGTTTTTTCTTTATTTTCCCTATTTATTTGAGTTTAGCAAAACTTTATCTGAATTAAAAAATGCATAGAATCAAAAATTAAAATAAAGCTGCTCAAAATACCTGTACTATAAAATTAGCAATGCTTTTAGGGGATGTTGAACAAACAAGGATAACTATGATTGACTTTTTCAACAAAATTAACACATAACTGTCTGTCTATCCTTTTCAAGGGAAATATTATTCTAATTTTATGTTCTTTATGTATCTTATTCATTGTGCTCACGGTGGGTGTTACCGGGAATGCTTAATTCTAGGCACCTGATCCTATCTGTCCTGTTTCCAGGGTCCATGTATTTGTCCTATTCACGATTCGTTTTGTTTATTGGAATTTATCAAATTGATCACAGTTCTTTGTCTTCACCTTATGAATTCATACTAATTGTGAACTCGATTATACAAAAACCATTTTAATAGATTCTATTATGTTATGCGAATAAGTATGTGGTTATGTCATTAAGTTATGTGAAGATAACGAGCAGTTCAAAACAAAGGTCTAAGAATTAGTATGAAACACATCAGCCAAAATACGACCCAATGATAGGTTACATTTGCTAACAAAGTCATTATATTGACCATAGAATTAATTTACGAAATGCTGACTTTATATGAGGTTGTTGAAGTCCCTGTATCATCAGCTTATCTGTCAGTAGTTGTCTCGGTTTAAAACTGACCGTACTCAGAGTATGCTCTTGAGTATCGAATAAATTGCGAGATGTAAACACCAGAGTAAGTAAGTAAAAGCGGGATATTTCTACATAAATGAGGAAAGTTGACGATGGAAAAGCTGAAGTCATCTCATTTGTCATCCAATTATGATCTTACTTAGCCCTTGTCATCTGTAGTCAATAAACATCCAAATAAGAAACAGATGTGGAAGTAACCATTGTTAGTTGATAATAAGTCGTCAATATCTCTAAATATCGAATGGAAGGCCACAGCAAGTGTTTTCTTCTTCTCATGTAGATGGTTTTGAATAAATTCTACTTCATGGGAATATTCAAACACTTCAGCTAATAAAGGAGCACAATTAGTGCAAAATGGAATTCCAACAATTTCTTGGATAATTCTAGTCTCCGAAGATTACATATATGTTGTCAATTAGGAACTCCAGCATTTATGTAATACCCACATCAGAGTATTTGTGTGTAGAAATAGAGTGATTTTAATAAAAAGTAATTTTGTTGATGACTAATCACCAGATTTGAAAATTTTCGACCATTTTTATTGAAGATGCAGTTGTCTATGATATTAAAAAGCCTAGTTTTTAATTTAGCGTGAGGAATAGTTGTATAAAGTGTCGAAGAGTCGTGCGTTTGGATGTTACTGACTTTTATAAAAATGGCAGTATTAAGAGCCATTCTCTGTAATGACTTGAACTTTTATATAGGAGCTGTGGCACGCATAGTCTCAGAATTTCTCCAAACTTTCTATGATAAAAGTCTTTGATACCGTTAACTCAAATCAGGCAAAAATTGGTTGCTACGTGTCATGGTTACCATAGCAACATGTCCTAAAGTTTGAAAAATGGCATTTTTCAACATCTTCAGAGTCCCACAGTTAACGATTGCAGCAAAGCAAACAAGTGGCAATGACTGTTTCTGAAAGTTGAAGGCCTGATGTCGTCTTAAATGCATGATAAACATGTTTGGTAAATCGTCTATAACATACATTACTATGGAAACAAAGTATTCAAAAGTAATAATTTTGTTCATTTAATTTTATAAAGTCATACACTTAAGAATAAAAACAATTATAGGTTGAAATGCAAGCAAATAATAGAGAAGAGATCCTTGTAACATATACCAAGGACAAAATATGATATTTCTTATAGGTTGGCAATGGTTGCCACGGTTTTAATACCACGAAGGGATTTTAAATTTACTCTCTTAGTGATTTAATCTTATCCTATCTTTTTAAAAAGCATATTTCTATATAACTGATGATCAATTTTTAAAGGCCTTTGTGTGACCCTAATTTTCACATTTCAAAAAATTCACTTTCAATTCTTTAAATAGTGCGTTGCTATGGAAATAAGGCAAAAAACATGCATAAAAATCTGAAAAATACTCTGTTTCCTTGGATACGTACCGTTGTATGTAGATTCCCAAAACTTTAATGATTGATATATGTGAACAACTAACCTGATTTTCAATTTTGACTATCACCCAATCTCTAACTGGATGCAAAAAGCTGACACATAGGGTCTAATATTGACAAAAAATTAACAAAATCGAACATTTTCTCTTCTTGGTAACCATAGCAACAGTGTTGTATTTTTCAACAACCTTTATCAATATATGATATTCAACTTTAGTTCTACGAGATAAATACTATTCAAGGTGATTCAAATGATATTTTTCTTGATTAAAAGGTTGGTAAATTCCTAAAGCAGCAAAAAATATCACATTAAACAACTAGTACGTTGTTTCCATGGTTACACTGCAAAGTAACAATTAATCTCAATTTTTCTTATGTTGTCGGTGTTGCAAGGTCCTAAGGATGCATATGTGCCAGTCATGAATTTTATTGTTTTCCCTCACGGTAGTAGCATTAACCCAATCATAGCAACAGATTTTGCATGGTGACACTGTGTTACCATGGCAACCATGAAAGTTATTTTTAGAATAATATTGCCAATACCTAATTACATGAGGTCAAATATTTTTCATTGTTTTTCTTACGTTTTTGATTGAGTTTGATCATGTAACATCTATTATTTGTGGCTATAGAGCGTTTTTCAGCATTTTTCAGCATCTAAAATGTATTCCAAATGTACCCATGGTTACCACTTACTTAGAGATAAATTCTAAATAGTTTCTTTATAACATAAGTGGCAATAAGGTGTCATGTTTTTGGGAGAATGGTTTGTTTGTTTATCGTAGTCTTTATTAAGGTTTAATAAAGATTTAAAGTGGCTGAAAATCTCAATTTTTTCAGCTTTTCTGGCTGTTACCATGGCAACCAAGGCACATAGCAACGAAATTTTATTTGATATATGTTTCTGGTGTCAAGTTGTAATAATGGGCAAAGTTTCATCAAAATCGGTGACCATGCGTGGCAAAGAAGTTTAAGTGGTTACCGATCGCGAGAATCGCTATTAAATTTTGTAAAGGTTTTTAAAGGTTTTTGAGAATCCACATCTGATTTACACCACTTCGAGAATATGCTTTACAGCAGTTATTATTTTTGTAAAGAGTAAAGATAGGGGCTTGGTAAATCTTTTGCTAAACGCTTCAATGTTTTTCTTTTTGTAAGAATTATTATTAATTGATAAAACGTCGTCGATATATCTAAGTTGTCGAATTAAAGGCCACAGCAAAGATTTTTTCTTTCATGCAAAAGTTTGTAAATAAATGCTGCTTCATACAAATAAAAAAAAACACATCTGCGATTAAAACGCATGACAATTCGAACACATTGTTGGAAGTCCTGTTTTCTGAAAACTACATAGAGATTCTCAGTAAAGAACTCAAGCATATTTTAGATATCAACCTGGGAGTATTTGTTTGTAGAATCAGAATATTTAATTTTTTTTATTTAAAAAAAGTCCGTAGATGACTAATGACAAGGAACACAAAGTTTTTATTCAAAAACTATTCCTTCTTAAGTTTTTGTCTGATTTCAATAAAATTTAGTACACAGACAGATTACAACAAAAATACGAATTCAATTAAATCCTTTACAATTGCTTATCTTTCTATAGCAATAGGGTTAGGGCTAACACTAATCCTTAAAATTCACATGTAAAGTGAGAATTTTTACATCTTTAACAAAGGGAATGACGCAATCCACACCTTAACAAAGGATCAGAACCAAGAACTCCGAATTGATCTCAAGAGACATAATGGAGAACAGGCCTATGCTGCGTATACCACATTTTACATCGGAGATGAAAACAATAAATACAATTTAACAATATCTGGATATTCGGGAACAGCAGGTGAGTAAAAGGTTCAAGATATTATGTTATGATAAATCTCTCACATAGCAATCATTTACATGAAATATATGGAGATAACGAACAGTATTCAAGCCCAAAAGTCCATTAAATAGTATTAATTACAGATACATGTAGTTTAGGTTATATATGATTCTCTGATAAAAAGTTGAAAACAGCGAAAGGTGATCGATCCCCCCCCCCCCAAAAAAAAATCTTCAAACAAATAAAATCTGTAAAGGGTCATAAACCACGTTCCCTCGGAGATTCCAGATGTGGGATCAGGTGACTGGGAGGAGTAAGGATCCCCTGTCGACCGTGAGCCTTATGTATAAATCAGGTATACGAAATATGTCGTAGTAAAATTCAGTATGAAAACAAAACCTTTACAATTTGTTTGAAACATTTCGCAAGTTTTATGGTCGATACAATGACCTTGTCAGCAAATACAACCTATCATTAAGTCAAATGCTGACTGACGTTTTTCATACTAATTGTTAGACCATTACTTACACACTGAATTGTCGACGTATTTTTTCGTTTTTCCCAATCATGACAAGGTACACACGGCGGATGTTATTGGTCGGCAGGGATGCTAACTCCTCCATGGCACGCATCTGATCCCACCTCTGATGTTTTTGGAGGTCCGTGTTTGCTCTGGTCTCGATTTGTATTGTTTAAATGGACTTTGAGCATGGATACTGCTTGTTATCTCCATATTTCATTCAGCAAGATATTACCAAATTATAGGTTATATTTGCATACAACCATAGTATCTACGAAATGCTTTGAAGAGGTATGCTGAAATTCTTGTAACATCAGTTTATCTGTCAGTAGTCTGCCTCATTTTAAAAATTGATCGTTCTCAAAGCATGCTCTTGAGTATCAAATAAATTGGGAGATATAAACACCATATGTAGGTGATAACGGAATATTATTACATGAAGAAATTACTACATAAAGTAAAAGCCATCTCGTTTGTCATTTGATTTAGCTGTTAGTTAGCTGTTAGTTAGCCCTTATTTGTTTTAGTCAGTAAAACATTTAAATATGAAACAGATATGGCAGATTCTGTGGTGCCTTTTTTTAATTTCACAAGTCTTCAAAGGGACATTGGTATTCTTTACAAAGAGACAGGGGTTATTCTCTACACAGAGACAGGGGGTATTCTGTACACAGAAACAGAGGTTATTCTCTACACAGAGACAGAAGGTATTCTCTACACAGAGACAGGGGTTATTCTCTACACAGAGACAGTGGGTATAATTTACACAGAGACAGTGGGTATAATCTACACAGAGAAAGTGGGTGTTCCCTACACAGAGAAAGTGGGTATTCTGTACACAGAGACAGTGGTTATTCTCTACACAGAGACAGTAGGTATTCCCTACACAGAGACAGTGGGTATTCTCTTCACAGAGACAGTGGGTAATCTATACACAGAGACAGTGGGTATTCTCTTCACAGAGACAGTGGGTAATCTATACACAGAGACAGTGGGTATTCGCTACACAGAAACAGTGGGTATGCTCTACACAGAGACACTGGGTAATCTCTACATAAAGAGAGTGGCTATTCTCACGTTACATTTATTTTTGTAGGCACTGTTCCTTATCACACACAGGAGAAATTTTATTTTCAGTAAATTAAACGTGATGCAAGGCTCCAAGCACGAAGTTACGTTGAATTATTTCATTTTTTCCATTAACGTGTTTAAAAGTTTGAAACAACTTATGACAATATCACTGTTCCTCGCATAGACTCAACGTTTTCTGGAATTACCTAAGTCGATAGATAAGTAACATTAAAAATAAGAAAATTCCTGTTTTTTTTTTTTTTTTTTTTTTTTTTGGAAAAGCCACATCATACTATCCCAAGCATAAATATCTGAATTACATTAATTTTACATTCAGAAAACATTTTTGCAGATCTGTGTTTTTTTTTTCAAAGTAGCCACACAAAATGTACATCATCATCATCATCACAATTCGTATGTTCTCTTTTTCATTACGATGGTGTACTCAGCTATATAAAAACTACCCGAAATATTATATTGCATTCAAAACATACCATTACATTCTTAGCTCGGGTTTGATTTTAATTTGTAGGCTATGAACATAAGTAAGAGACACTTTGCACAAAGGCATGTCTAAACTACATACTGACACACTTGTTCCGATATCACATGACCTTGTTGGTCACGTGACGGGCAATTATATTTTTTGAAGTGTTGCACATAAGTCGCTTCGGCATAAGTGTTAAACACAATTTTTTTTAAACTTTAGTACATAAATAAATTAATTGTATCCTAGTGTACCCGAAAAGTGCTTGGAACGAGCCATAGTTTCATTAGTATATGAAATATTTCATGAGAATTTCAACTACCTCACACATTTGAGGGTATTTTTTACTCTTCATTGTTATTTATATCAAAGCTAATCCTAAGCAAGATTCAGTTTAAGAACATTCTCCTCCTATGAATTTTCATAAAACATTTAAAGTCAATCTTTATTAATGACTTGTCATAATTACACATAAATTCTACCTTTAACCACGGTTTTGTAAACAGGGTCATTTCAAAGTTGTACTAAATTCACTTAATTTCAATTCAGAGAAATTTTAAATATTCAAAAGTTATTACATACCCTCAGACTTTAAACTGCAGTCAAGTCACTTGAATTGTACAACAACGTTCTAACACATTACATGTGGTTTGAAGTAAGACGTGAAATTTATGAATTCTACCCGCAATTACAGATCAAGTTTGCAGTGAATTGAGGTTATATTCAATTATGACGTCATATCTTGTTAGTTCAGAGAAGTGATGGAAACCTTAACATACCAGCGTGAAATTTTGCAATTTACAAGACCAACACAACATTTACTACAGCGGTAGTTACTGGGTTTAATTATTATTGGTTTCAAGCTTTGGGCTTAAATGTTATTAATACTCTATTCTAGGTGACAGTTTGATTGAATGGCACAATGGTATGAGATTTTCCACCAAAGATCAAGATAATGACATGAGTAACGTTAATTGTGCTATAGACTTTCACGGTGCCTGGTGGTATAGCGCCTGTTACGAATCAAACCTAAACGGAGGATATGCTACGTCTGCTCTGATTGGTGACAAATACCCGGTATGGGTTCACTTTAAAAAAACTTTCGAAGCTCTACAAAAAACTTTGATGATGATTAGACAGAAAAACTAGAGTTAACTAGAGTTAATGTATAATTAGTTCTGACATGCCTTTAATGAATTTAAAATGCAGTTCTTAACGCAAATATTCCTAGCTTCTCTGTGTAACTTAGTTATCCCATAACCTAAGCCATCCTTTTTTAAGAAATGAAATTTACACTCTATTCTTTTTAATATGGAATACTTTATCTTTGCATGCTATGATAAAACAGTGTAGTATATATTAGACTATGTAACGTGTCATTTGTTAAAGAATGTAGTGCACATGATTATATCACTGTTAAGAGGATGTAGAAGAGATTAGACCGTGAATTATGTCCCTGATAAATCAATGTATATGTAGAACAGATTGACTGTGAAATAAATCTCTGATAAAACAATGATACCCTCTGATGTGTCACTGAATACAAATGATACTCTCTGATGTGTCACTGATAAAACAATGTAGGACAGATTAGACTATGTAATATGTCACTGATAAAGCAATGTAGTAAAGATTATACTGTGTAATGTGTCAATGAAAAAAAACTATGAAGTACACATTAGACTAAGTTACAAACAAATCGGGAGCAGAGCAACCATTAGATCAGGTAACAAATAAATCGGGAGCAGAGCAAACACGGACCTCCAAAAACATCATAGGTGGGATCAGGTACCATAAAAGTATTTTTGTGCTGCTGTTCTTTTTTCTTTTAAAAAAAGAATTGAAATTGTTAACAATATAAAGCTCAAAAACTACATACAAAGAATATTTTTTACATTCCAATATTTTTTTCGAAATTGTGTTTGTTTTTTGCTTATCTTCTTACTGTATGTTGACTCAATGATATAATACAAAAATTCGACGGTAAGTGGGAAACTAACGCCCACATGTGTAACATACGCAGGAAGGACATAACCAATGTTAATGTTTTATGTAAAAGAAGTATAAATAAATTCCAATCAATCAATTAGTTTATGACATCATTACGGATCGTGTAGGTAATTGGGATCGTAGTTTTCTTTTTAATAAATTTAAAGTTTTTTGCTCTGAAAACCGTCTTGTTTATAATTAAAAAAAATGTTAAAGTGGGAAAAATATCAGTAAACTTCATCGAAGTCTTGTTCATCGTAACGATTAAATAATTTCAGATACCTTGTTTTCTGTTGCGGAACCTGTATAAATCTTTAATAGCCTGTATTTTTTTGTCGCAACACACAGCTTTGTGAAAAGAATAAGCCTCATGTGAAGCATATTTAATCTATAATGTATCGATTTTGCATATCTGTTGAAGAGACCTGATTTGATACTAATATCTATATATTATTTTTTTTTTTTTTTTTTTTTTTTTTTTTTTTTTTTTTAATAAATCATTTTTTCTTTGTTAGGAAACAATCATTATTTCTAATCTCGTCTAGTTCAATTTGAGTTTATTAGTAGAAAAGCTTAGTTGTCAATGTAGGCAAAATGTTTCTCGATCCAACATATTCATTTAAACTTCTTTTGTTTTAAAATAACTTTGAAATAGGAGGTTTCTACTTGAAACGGACGTCAAGTGCAGTGTATTTCTGCATTATCTGTTTTGTTCTACAATGTAGTTATGTATTAATCAAAATTAGCATTAATCCCCGTTAATAGTTTCCCCCAGTGAATCTAAAAAAAAAAAAAAAAAAAACTGTCAGTAGAAATATTCTTTGTGCTTTAAAGGTGCTAGTTCAAATTTAGTTTCAAATCCTGATTGCCATTTTGAATTACCATAACAAATATTTGTGATAGTCAACTATAATAAATACTTTGACACTGATTTACTATGAAATTTTATTTTTTCACTTTTTTTTTCTTTTGAGATTTAAACGTAATATTTCTTAAATTACATATCAATGATGCAAAAGTGGACCTAATATTTCCTATTAATATATAAAAAAATGCCTATAGAAATTAAAAAAAATAAATGATAGCAATCTGATGTTTATATTAAAAAAAAACCCCTCTAAATAAGTATAGCAAAATCTTTAATTTTCTATTGTTAAACTTTGATAATATAGTAAACAAAAGTGAACTACAGTAAATTGTATTTTTCTAAAGTAATTCTATTTTAATTTATTTTATATTTAAGATAAGCTCTATGCAAAGTTCAATTAACTCAAATATGATGCCTTTAAACGAAAATTATGAAATTTCAATAAATCACCACGTAAAGGGTCTAATTTAATGAATCTCAACTTTAGGTCTGCATCATTTTATTAAAACAGAATCATCGGTTCACCGGAGTATATGCTTGAGATATAAACTGAACGTTGTAAGAGGATACTCAGTAAAGAGAATATACAGACATCGATTTGTACGGAATAAAAAAAGTGAGGCTTGAATTTAGAATGCTTCAAAAAATTACTTGATTGCTATATCTCTTATGATATACAACATGGATTGGATTTTTATGAAAACTATAGGGTTTGCCATCTGTTTGCGATTCTGTCCGTCTAGCTGTCTAGCTGTCTGTCTGTCCGTCCGTCTAGCTGGCCCTCTGTCTGTGAAACCGGAGGGGACTATAGGTTTCCTCTGAGTCTGTCTGTCTTTTTTTTTTTTACGGAATTACAACATTTTTAATGGGAACAACATACCTGCCTTCTTGACCATGACCTCAGAGTTTGACCCACTTTTGCCAAAAAAAAAAAAAAAAAAAAAAAAAAAAAAAAAAGGGTTTTACACCGTATGTGCTAGAGATTTCGAATTTCACTGTTTATTCATAACAAGACTTTCCATGGGTTTAAATATTTTGGACCTTTTTACCTTCACCTTAGAGATTGATGCATTTAAAAAAAACTTTAACCTTGAGCATAACTTTTGAACAGTTAGTGCCGGGTTTTATATTTTGCATGTTTATTTCAAATGACAATGTCTTCCCTTGGATACCATTCATTTTGTCCCTTTGACCTTGGAGTTTGACACAATTTTAGAAGCATTAACATTGACCATAACTTTTGAATGGTTGGTTCCTGGGTTTTCCTATTTCCCAGGTATATTTATTGACATCAGTCCTTTCTTTGGGTCACAACATTTTTGATCTCTTGACCTTGGATTTGACTTACATTTGAGAAACTTTAACCTTTGCCATTAGCTGCCATACAGGGCATCAGTGTTTCATAAACACATCTTGTTTTCCTTTTATTATAGAAAAAGAATTATTTTTCAGGGTTGTAAAGGAATAATAACAATGGAATTTTAGCCCTCCCTCCATTAAAATAATAAGATTTATTGTAACTGATTCGTTAAAAAGGTAAAGATAATGAATTAGTACTATAAACATGAGTTCATAAAAATGCACTGTGTAAACTCTTCAAAAATGTACTAAGATTGAACACTGAATAAATTTTAAAAATCCATAAAAGTGATATACAATTAGTAGTTTACATTATGCTAACACTGAATACAAAAAACATGTTAACTTGCAGTCCTCTTAAAATAGATTTTTAATCAGGTTTTATTTTTGTAGAAGATACGAAGGGGTAAAATGAAAATATTGCAGTTAGTTTTATTATTTTTCCCATCCAATTCGAAAAATGGTATACATCTTAATTTGTTGGTGGTGCCGAAAACAGAAGTGGAATGTATTACGAAATGCATTTGTGTTTTTTTTTTAAGACTAAACTGAAGCATATATATCCATTTAAGGCATTCCTCACAAATTTAATAATTTAGACGTATTTGTCCAAGAGAACTATCACTGTGACTCACCACGCTGCCATTTGTTAACACTGAGTCACGCGCTTGATAAATTCAAACGTTTACGTAATCGCCTATAAAACCGTATCGCCACCTGATGGTAAATAACATGAATACTTTCCTATAATGCATATCTCCAGGTAATAAATGCAGAGAATAAAACAAATAGAACTTGCGACATGTGCAAAAAAAAGTTTAATTTTTTAAAAGAAAAATATTTAAAGGATAAAGAAATCGAGAAGGGATGATATTGTTACGCAGGAGTGCCCCAAAGCGAAGCCATGTTTTAACGTGAAGAAGAGTTCTTAAACATATTATTTCATATTTCCTTGGACAGCCAAAGTACAACAATACGTATTATAATAGTTGAATAACATTCTTTTGCCTTTAACCTATACAAATTCTAAAATTATTACACGTGTAACAGCAGGTACCATTGTGTTTCGTAAAAAACGCCTAATCTCATATTTACAATTTTCTTTCAGTAAAATATAAAAGTCATTGGGTTTAGCTTCCTTCGTTATGTCCTACCAAGCATAATATACAGCTATACATTCAATTAATTGTACGTGTATACATGAAAGTTCTGCAAGACAGCTAACGAATTTTGAAAATTGAATTTAAAAAAATTCCAGTACTACTTGTAATTTACGCTACATATATTTCAATGAAATACACATTACATATTTTTTTTTCTGAAATATTGTTGTTATTAAAAAGATATGTATCGGAAAGCTATTACAACGTTAGATAGATGGATGGATAAATGTTTTCCTCTGATTATCATCTTTAACTCCTTAAGAGGTTCGACTCCTGTCCAAGAAGTCCATACCATGTATTCTGGTCCTTCTTCACCTGCTGAGTCTCTATATTTCGAGTTTACATTTGAGTAACTAAAATAATTGTACCACCAAGCACCATGGGGCTCCGTTGCACAGCGTCGCCATTATAGCCAGCGTCATAGTCTTTAGCAGAAAATCTCTTTTTATTGTGATTGTTGCCCAAACTGTCACCTGTGATAGGAAATTATGATTTTTTTAAAAGGACAGATGGCAAGTATTAATCTTCATTTTTTGATCTGCGAAATTAGTTGCATTGCTTTTGGAAAATTTGAAATAACAAGATTTTACCAAAATCAACAGCTTTAAAACTTACGACTTTTCTTCTTTATACACAACCATTCCCCACGATAAATTAAAGTCCAGGCTTTTTGATATAATTGAAAGCTGCTTTTCAAT